TGCGTGTGTGTGTGTGTGTTTCTTACCGTCTCCTGCTCCTGAACAATCCACGGTGAAGTGAGTGGGCTCATTGGCCTTCAGTCCAGTTCTCTCCACTCCAGGACCGAACACCTTCACCATGTTGGGGTGGCTGCCTTTACCCACGTTCACCTACAACAGGAAATTACATCATTTATTTTCTTTAAAATGGTTCTTTATGGAGATTTCCACACTTAGATCCTGCAATGTTTAATGTTTAACCAGGTTTTAGTATTCTTATCATTAAATATGGAGTGCCACAGGGCTCTATCCTGGAGCAACTACTTTTCAGTCAGTATTTTAGTATATTTTAAACACATTTTGAAATATGTTATATCTCATATGGCTTAATTCTACTGAACTTCATTAATACAGACCTGACATTTCATTGTAGTTTAGGCTTGTGGTACTTAAACTTATCAAACATACAAAATGTAACATTGTATGTTACATTTTTTTTTTTTTTTATGTAACATTTTAATAATGTGTACATCATAGCTTTAATAACTAGATATGTATTTAAAGAAATAGGATTTCTCTTTAGTTTCTACTCCAACGAAGAGAATAAGCTATTAAACTATGAATACAGATCACATCAGAAATTCTAAAATCACCACCAATATTTTATCAATTGTAAAAGAATGTGCTTTATTTTTATAGTTTGCCAAGACATGTTTTACAGCAGGTTTAAAACCAGGGACTTTTAGTACTGACAAATTCTGCAGGAATCCGCTAAATGTTTCAAAATTCGCTCATTTTTTTACGCTATTATATTTCTTTATATAAAGGATTATAAAATCTTCATTTTGGGTGGTCCTGTGTAGTAAAATATAACATTAAACTGAAACAGTACGAAATGTGTGAAATACGCATTCAAAAAATAATAAAGAATCCTCACTCAAATAAAAATAAAAACAAGGTCATGCAAATGAACCAAACAACACAGTAAAACATTTAATGAAATGCCAGAATTTATTTTGAAGCCAATCTAACTTTGATTAAAGTGAAAATAAATGACTTTATGTTTTAGTACAACTGATATTTGAAGTGAGTTTCAGTTCACTTTTGTTACAGATTCACTCAGATTCACAAAACATTTGTTCATCAGCTGTCTTCCAGGTTTTAATGTTAAAAAAAAAAAAAAAAAAGATCAATGAGGACCCCCAAAGTTTAATCCTAAATCTCACTTAACTATCAACGCTAGCAGGATTCAAACATCCATGGATGTGCTTATTGAAGATTAGTTAGTGACCTGCTGGCAATTACCAGCCACAATAGCCCACCAACGTATCTTGGGCAGCTATTGTTGTTTTAGCCACCGATTAAATGATCTTTGTTGTTGTACCATCAATTGCTGTCTCACAACTGACTGCAGGCCGGGATTATTTTGAGGTTAACAGTGCAAATTCACCAAAAATTAAACTTACAAAAAAAACAACAACCTCTGGGTAGATTAACTTTACCTCTATGAGTCAATCTAGTAACTGTGGCAATTGCACTACAGTTAACTGATTTTGTGGCACAAAGGAGAACGAGTTTGCACACGGATTGATTTTGAATACATATTATATTTTTTAAGGCATTATAAAAGAATACAATGATTAATTTGGAGCCCATCAGTGTGCAGACTTTTTCTTGCACACACTTGGTTCCTTCTCTGGAGTTAATTGATTTTATCCTAAAATTTCACGGTAATTAAATTCTGGGGCAACTGAGAGCAACTTAAAATATTTCAATTCTCCATGAAACATTTTACATCAGGGAGAATTGCTTGGATGGTTTTTCTTACAACCAAAACTGTCGGTTAACTTTACTGCTTCTTGCTATCAAGTAGAGAACTAACATTAAATCAAAGGCAAGTATTCTGTTTTCAATACAAGTGCAACTGCAGTTACATGTTGTTTACATGTGAATATTACTGACAGCTACGGTCAAGTCAGGTTACCACCATGAACCCTGTCTTCCACACTGATTTCTTTACCTTCCAATTGTTAATGAAAAGGTGTCACTGCTGTGTTCCCAGCAGTGCTGAGAGCTGGGTGTGACTGTTTACTTTCTATTTATCTTCTGTATCAACATTAAAGTTGGAGAAAGGTGCAGTCGGTGCCAGGCAGCCTGCAGGCTGCTGCAGCTCACAACAAGCCTGCTGAATCACCATCAGCTCTAAACCTGGAATAAGTACAAACTTCCCTGAACCAGTTGAAATGATTTGTGGACCAGTACAAATACTTGTGACCCATCCGAGCCCGAAGAGAGACTTTAACACTTTAAGTTGCAGAATATTGTTTTTGTACTTTGAATTACATGAAAAGTTTTGTACAAATATTATGAAGCAGTGTCTAATGATTACACAATCATATTTCCACTAAGCAAAGTCTCTAAAAACTCTTCAAAACTACATCAACTTGTCTTGTTCATCAATCTAACTTTTGGACTTTGTACGTCTGTTATCTTTGCCAACCCCCTGAAGCCTGCTGGCGTTGTCATAAATTCCTGTACAGCACACAGACACATATCCAGGCCCATTGAAAGTTTCTCATGAGACTTATTTGCCCTGTGGGTGAAACTATAAACGCCTTATAACAAGAAGAAAGGAGGACAGCTGATAAACAAAGAAAGAACGCTAACACCAGAAACTGCAAAGCAAATAAATCTCTGTGATTGGAAAATACAAAATTAAAGGTTACAGTGCAAATAAGATTAGTGCATATCTCAAATGTCAAATGAAAACCATTTCATTCTTACTGTTTTTATGTTCATTTCTGTTTTAGTTGTCTTTAGTTGTTTTGTCCTGGGTAGACTTCAATTAAATAAAACAGAACATTTTTCAAGCCCTTAAAGAGATAATGAGAAATGAGGATTTAATAAGGAGCTCAGAGGTCAAAGATCAGTGCACCTCTGGCCCAAGAAAGGGAGTTTCCTAAATTTCAGTTTCACTGGTCAATAAAACTCTAATATATGGTTTTACTTGATGAGTTGAAAAGGTTTTCATTTAACAATGACACTTTTACTTCATAAAGAAAATATAAATCACATTGCTGTGAAGAAAACAGCAGAGCTTCACTCATCTGAACCTCTCGTTAAACATAAATCACTGTAGATACGCGGCTCCTTTTCACCAGCTTCACCTGGAGGGTGTGTATACATGGCAAGTTTATGGTATTCCCACAAATCCCACTCACCCAGTGTGAGTCGCTAGTGCAGCAACAAGGATGTGATCCCTCACTGGTTTCCCACCAGCATAATAATTGTGTTCATTGGGACAAAAACAACCCAATCTGACCGATCGTAACTGGGAAATTAAATTTTGAGCGCTTTGACTACTCACTGAATTGGAAAAATTTCAAAAGATATGTGCCTCTGTAGATAAAAGCGATTCATTCTAAGGTAACGAAAATTTAACGATTACTAACTTGTCTATCGGTTTAGAGCGCTCTTTGCAAGCCGGTGGCTGTATTCAGCCAAAGATCTTCTGTCAGGGAAGATACTCCACTCTGTAACACAGCTGTGCAATCACAAGTGGACAAGTCTTTCTGTCCTTCCTACATGTCCAATAGAGTGATGCATCGTCTCTCTAGCCAATCATATCACGTTAGTTTCAGGAGTCTTATTCTCCCAGTTAATCTTTCATGTGTATCAGATCAATAATTTAAGCTTATAAAAAAATAATGATATTCTTTAACCAGGACCAGTATTTGGTATCTTGTGAAAAATAAACCAGATTAAGTAGCTATAGTTGTTATTTCAGTGAGTCAGATGTTAATTAACATTTAAGTAAACAGAAGTATCAGATCAGACTCAGTATCAACAGATAGTCGATATTAAAGCCAACATCAGATGGGATTTAGTCGACCTAAATTACAAAAGCTCTTCACAGAAAGGTTCAGATTAGTGAAGTTCTAGTGTAGCTCAACCAAAAAAGTGTTAAAAAATACAAAAAGCAAAGTGAGTTACAGTGCATGGACAGTGGTTACAGTGCAGAAAAGACTGGTTAGTGCATATTGTGGTCAAACCATCTTCAGTTTAATCTACATAAAAACATTTAAGTTTTTTTTTTTTTAAAGTTAGGTTCAAGGTGAGGATGTGAAACACAAACAAAAGGTTGTTACAGTGCATAGACGGAGGTTACAGTGTGGTTACTGAGTATGGTGAATAAACAACAACATATAAAATGTAAAAATTAATCAAAATACAATGAGTTTTGTTAAACATAAGTTGCAATTGCATGTTTGATCATATAGTGGACATTAGTGATAGGCAGTCATCAACAAAACATTTGCATGCTGTTAATTAAATGTTAATGTAAATCTCGTATCAGAAAATGGTTTTAAGTGCAAGTCTGACAAAATTCAAGTCATGTTTACAGCTCAGAGATTGAGGTAAAAAACACAAACTAACATTTAGATGTCAAGCTACTTTGGTGTTGGGCCAACCAACCAAGGTTCAGTCAAACTAATGGCTTCATGCCACACGACACATGACACTCCCTATGCGATGGTCATATTGGATGCAACAAAATCTCAACAAAGTCAAGTCAAACACAACTATAGTAGCATTATTACACATCTGATTAGCAAACAAGGTAATATCTGGTAAAAGGTAATTAGTTAGCCTGTTTTTGGTAAATTAGCTTGTTGGTTAGTTTTTTTTTTTTAAGAATGCATCAACATTTTTGATTAGAT